CATTGGTTGAAAGGAGGATGAGAGTGACGTGACCCGTGACATCAGAATCATCAGCATCATCAGAATAACGCTGTTTGAATGATTGGAAGAATTCTTAAGATTTATAAGCCTGTACATACAAAGCAGTGGTTTACAATCGAGATGAAAGGTATTCTTGGCATAACAGATCCTGATGTTCGTAAATGTGGTGGGCCTTCTGAAAGTATTTAATATTTCGTCGCCATTTTGGTGAGTCCACATCCGGCCACCACCCGACTCCATCTCATTCAATATCTTCCGGAAGAAGTGCTCGCAATTAGGCGTCCACCATCCAACATTAAGACCTGATTTGAAGAATGCTGCGGGCTGAGGCCACCATGATAATCTGGCTGTGGATGTTTGCTGACCGCCCACTCGGACGTGACGACTATGTTCCAGGTGGTCTAATAACATACTGAATGGATGATAGTCATGGAAATAATCTGGATACACCCACTTATTTCGACCAAGTACACACCACAAATGAGGTCCTCTTCCTGCGGGGTGAGGCGATGGTAATAGTACGCGTGGTCGGCGAACTTTGGATCCACAATCTCCGCGTCAGCCCGCAAGATGTCGACTGAGTTCCAACGTATTCTGTGTAGAGGATCATCGAGAACATGACGTGCGATACGGCTGATGATGCCACCGGAATATAGCGCAAGCACACCTCGTGGAGAGTGAAGGAATCGGTCTCGGTGGGCCACATAGGACAAGAAATCGAGTCGAGATGGCCGATAACCCTCTTGACGAACCCCAAGACCAACCCATCTCATGTATCTAGGAGCATATGAGATTCTGGAATTCGCCAGTATGATATGGAATGGGCAACCGAGATGAACAAGTTCCGACAATAGATCTTCCCAGTCTTGAAATCTCAGTCGAATGAGGTGCAAAACAGTGGTCGCACTGAAAAGCAGAATCTTTTCGCCATGGTCGCTGTTCCTTCCACGGGGGGTTATCACGAAAACGCGGCTCTTTCGTGGACCGGAGCGTCTTGTTGTCGGAAATAAACAACGTTAATCCCCCGATCTTTCCAGAGGTGCGTCTCTTCTTCCGCCTGGGCCAAATCAAGCAACACTGCTGGGATTTCGGCTAGGGGTTTTGCATTTGCAATCTCCTGGAATAGAACTCGAGTCGAATTTGACACTAGGTACGATGAACGGAGGTCTCCGAGCACATTTAAACAGTTCTCGGATGAGATAACCTCAGGTCCTGGAGCGTCGAAGGATTGATTTTCTATATGACCAAAGCGCTCTGCTAAGACGACACCGCAATCATCCCAATTTGTCAGAGACTCCAGTTGCGTTGTCTCAAAGTCCATTCTTTCAGACTCGTAGAAAGCGACGACATTGGCGGAGGCTCCACCTCCATCGTTCAGCAACAACGACATGTTATCCGGAAGATTTACGGGAAGATTTGGGAAGGCAGGTCGACCACTGGCATCCGAGTCGTCGGCAACATCACTGACACTGGCTATCCCAACCGTGTTCGACTCGAAGTCGCTCACTTGAGACTCGATGTCGTCAGGCTCCAGCTTGTCGTCAGGCTCCAGCTTGTCGTCAGGCTCCAGCTGAACATCATCCCCGACACCATTCGCTACAGACTCGCTGTCGAAAGTCACCGGATGGGATTCAAGTTGAGAGTTTGGAATTTCCAGCTGGCCCGAATTAGACTCGAGTCATCGGACTGATCATCAGAACTTTGACCCGATTCGAGAGTTTTTGCTTGGCCCGGAGCAGAGTTCTGACTGGTTCTCGTCCTCGCCGGATCATCTGCGATTGTCGTCAAAGCCGTGCTCTCTTCCCAAGTCCTGATTCCAGGACAGAGGTCCCATTGATTCGAGCCCACATCATAGACACGTTGATAGGGCTCATAATCTTTCCACACACTGACAGCAAATGAATGTGTTATCGGTCTGCGTATCAAAAAGCCGTCATAAGCATTCCACATGAAAACCTGTGTGTTCTTCGAACTCGGACCCAGTCCTTGCATCTTCGTGACACGCTCTTGTCGTTTTTTAAGCTGTGCCTTCTCCTCCGCGGAATTGATCGCCGTGTTGTGTCTGGTGCGCCGCAGGAAAAAATCTTGATAACTCTCGCCGAATCTTTGGCCGCTATTCGGATCAACCGGCGGCATTTCCCGGCGCGGCGGCTTCTTTGGCAGTTCCTCAGCTTGAGCGCACGTTGCATAGAAATCAGCATTGCGGAATACTCCAAATCGGCGCCTAGCGTTGTCGATGAATGTCCATTCCATGATTGCATCTTGGCCACTAAGATTGCGAACTTTCTGTATGTGCTCTGATTGGACAGAAAGGTGGTAACATCGCATGGAGGGAAGAGCATTGAACAACGGGGATCGGTGCTGTTCAAGAAGAAATACAAGGGTACACGAATGTCATTCTTCAATATCATGGAGAATAGCCAATCCAGAGACCGAGCTTTCTCGATTGCTGCTGGGCTTGAAAAGTCTAAGATACCTCCAATGGGTCCCGGGCAATCTGGAAAACGACTTCTTCTAGTTCGTCCCACAGTGCCGCATCCACTTGACTCTCCTTGATATAGCGTTCGCGCCATCCTGGCATTTTAATGTCATCGAGAACTAGAGTCAATAATGTGATAGCCCCAAGCAGCGGGCGAAAAGCATGGAGAGATTGCAAGACAGCTTTGTGTAGATCTTGTGGGGATTCAAGGTCAAAGTGTTGTGTATACCCGAATGTTGATGGTAGAGAGTGCCACGGACGAACGTTAGATTTGAGTTCCGTCGGAGCCTTTGGCGCTTTCATAACATTTTGATCTAACCAAGTCAAGGTCGTTCGCAAAAAAACCCTCGAGTCGGAGCCATTGATCACGCAAGTCACCTTTCATACCCCCTAACTCGAACGTGCTGCGCACCACGAAAATGCGGGACAACAAGCTCCTCTTGCGGGGTTGCACCGATCTGAAAGTCCAGCGGCTTCAATAGAGTATTGTGCAAGATGTGGAAACGAGGCATAAATAACAAGTGAGGTAGGTCCATATTAAGCCAGGCCGTTTTGGCCATCTCGCCGTTAAGCGTTTTGTTCGAGGAAGTGGGAGGGGCTTGCCGCTGACTGGGGATGGAGTAAATGACAGCCCGATCGCCGTTGAACACGAAAAAAATTGCGGGCTTATTTCGCACAAGACCAGTATAATGTTTGGGGAGGTCTTGATAACAGAGGTTAACGTCGAGTACCGGTTTGGTGGGAGCTAAGTTACCTTTGGTCGCTCCTCCTCATCAAGCGCTGAGAGGTAGCAGCCGCACAAATGAATTTCCGGACGTCGACATTTCGCATGACGCCATGAATGGTTGTTACCCGACGTCTTAGCGTCTGAGCTAGTCTTGAGATCTGAGAAACGGCCCGACCCGGCGTCTTAGCGTCTAAGCCAGCAACAAGAGAGGAAGGAAGAGAGTATCCAGCAACAAGGAAGAGAGTGTTCAATGTCGTCGTCGCCGCCGCTCGCACAACTTGAGCACGGTGAGAATGTGCTTGCAGCCAACTGTCAGACATGAGAAACGAACAGTGTTCAGCGTGTACCTTCGCAACACGATCCAGACTGAGAAAATGGCAGAATCGTGACCTTGGTGCGATGAAGTCTGATGAGGTGTGACGATAGGTGACGATGTGACGACTCGGAAGCGGTCCCTTCCGATTGTTAGTTCGTTCCTTGACACTGCGAGCTGTTGGCGAGCTGTATCCACCAGCCGTGACGGTTTACACACTTTAAAGCCCTTTCGCGAAACTTTCGGACGTTGCGAGCTGTATCCACCAGCCGTGACGGTTTACACAGTACTTTAAAGCCCTTTCGCGAAACTCTCGGACGTTGCGAGCTGTATCCACCAGCCGTGACGGTTTACACTGTACTTCAGACGCCGCGAGGTGCCCCCTTCCGACCAACTTCTTTGAAACGATGCGAATCTACCAGCCGCAGTCGCATGTCCTGCACAAGATCCACGAAACACCAAGAAACCTTCAACTTGGAGAGCGGCAAGTTCTTGGCTTATGGGAGCAATGCGATCCTCATTTTTGGACAGTTATGAAAATGTGGATTGGACTGGGGATGGGCCTTGTCCGATGAGACGGGCAGTCTCTATGACTGCCATTATCTTCACATAGCGCCCGACGGGAGGTCAAGGAATCAACCCGACCTGAACTTCCCCCAACTTCGCCAGCCAAGGTTGACGCAGAGTAGCCTGTAATTACTTATGGACCAAAAGAAATAATTGTCGTGAAATAAATGGACAGCGCATCAAGTTGATGCCTCCATCTTTTCGCATGCCTCGACTCCCCAACGTTGTGCGACACACATATTTTGACGACGCCGCTGAGGGAGGAATTCAACCACCTACAAGTTCATTATTCTCTGGATGGACAGCGCGTGCTGAGCCAGCAGACAAATCCATCGCCTAAAAAAAAGGCTCGCCTTAATCAAGAGGTCATTGAAACTCAACCTGAACTCGCTGACTGGATGCCATTCCCAGATGCGCAACTGGAGGACGTAAGAGAGCTGGTGGATACTGTGTCGTCGTTGGAGATTCAACTGGAAGAAGAATCGACATTGAAGAGAAAACGTTATGCATCGGTCGGTTGATACTACGACTTTATACAGAAGCTCATTCCCTTAGGACGATCCTATGGCAATGTGGCAACCACTGACGGCTCTCTTTCTGGAGGAAATGCTACGAAGAGACGGTCTCGGAAACCCTAACGCATGCCAAGAATGTGTGAATTGTCAAGCCAATCATATGGAGGAGACGGGGCTCCGTTTTTTTCGCTGCAAGCAATGTGGGGACGGACTCCATTGTGAGACCTGTGTGGAAGCCGCTCATCAGAAATTGCCGCTCCATGAATTGCAGGTATTTATTTCTTCACCGATTTTGTTACTTGTTTACCTAGCTTGTTTAGGAATGGACGGGTCACTTCTGGACGAAGGCCTCCTTGTTTTATGCCGGACCCATCCAGCATGGAGCTCGTGGTTTGGCGGGCTGTTATCAACTTGGTCATGACGGTGCCCCATGCCCATTCCCCAGTAACCGTCGACCGTTGGTGGTCATCGATGTCAATGGCATTTTTACTTTGGACGTGCAGTACTGTGGCTGCGTGAATCCGTTCGGATTCGACCCCGTCAGACAATTGCTTCAAATGCGTGGTATCCGGCCACGACAACAAACCCTGCGACCTGTGCAACCTTCAACGTTTTGGAGACATTTCGCTTCCTGCGCTCCATCGCAAAAATCAATGTCCAAGACTATGTGCGCACGTTGGAGAAGTTGACGGATTCAACCGGACTGGAAAAGGTCCCAGATCGTCGCGTTGCTTTCGGTCGAATGGCTCGACAATACAGCTATCTTAAAATGATGAAGCGTGGAGGTCGCGGGGCATGAAGCCAATGGAATTGTAACTACGCCGCCAGGGGCGTTGGCTGTGCGTTGCTGGGCATGCCCAGATGCTTCTCGTAACTTGCCTTCCGGATGGGACAAGGTTCCGGAGTCGAAGGCGTGAGTAGCTATTTAATCAAACTATTCTTGACCAACAAATGTGCAGATACTTGTATAAGCTCATGTTGGCATTCGATGCCAATTTCCGCCTGAAGAACAAGCTTCGTGCTGGAGAACGCATGGATCCGGCGTTGACCGATGGCTTGGGATACTTCATGCGATCTGGACCATATAAAGAACATATCAAAACGCTCGTTGACGAAAAAGATGTCAGTGCGCTCTAGTCGAATCTATTCCATGTTAATGCGATACTTCAGGTCCAGGCTTGTGCTGCGTTTGCTGCTCTTTTGCAGAAGGAGACCAAATTGACCACTGGCCTGAGAGTTTCTGGCGTAGTTGGTTGTGTCTGTGCACGGCACGGCCTCGTGCGTCGTCGAGGGATGGGAGACCTTCAACGTGGAGAACGGCAAGTTGCTTGATGCCAGGAACAACTTGGATACTAACTCTTTGTGCCAGCTATGGAAACGTGGATTGGACCGTGCTATCAACTCTGTCAGACGAGGAAGTTCTGTGGGTCTTGCTTGCATACGACATCGTATGTCACTGGCAAGTATACTTTCCTGAGCGCGTCGCACGAATGAAGACAACGGGCGTGGATATCGAAGAGATATTCACCGAATTGGACCGTATTCGCCTGCAATACGGACTGCCGGTCTGGCATGCTGAAGCTCATGACCCCAAATGTCGAATTCAGTTTGCGCTTAGGTACTTGTTGGGTGTTGGAAAGACGGATGGGGAAAGCACCGAGCGTTTGTGGAGCCTACTCAATCCCGCAAGTTGGTCGACAAAGGAAATGGGAGAAGGCGCCCGTCATGATGTCCTGGAGGACAAGATCAACCTGATTAATTTTGAGAAAAACAGGAGCATGGGTCAGTTAAGGTTTCTTTGAGAGTTTAAGCTCACTATTTGCAAGGGCGGACACTTGCAAGACGTTTGATTGTCGCTGTAGCAGAGCGTCAAAGGCAGGGCATTGAATTCCAGGAGCTGGACGACAGCGTTCCTAAAAAAAAGACGTGAATGGGCCAAGATGATGGATGCCTGGTATAAGGATAACACCCAGACGAATCCATTTGAAGTCCAGGGTGGGAAGCTCGGTATGCATGACGTTGAATACCTGTTGTAGCATTGATGACCTGTCTCGACAGCCGGTGATGAGTGCGGAGTGGGGACAAAGCAAATGAGCCTCTAACTAACCAAACTAACAAAAACAACCAAAACTCCACTTGAGATAGAGAGAAAGTTGTATAATGTCGAGTAGGGAAAGTCACAAAACCCAAAATATCGTCGACTCCTTGTGCGAGAACAGACCCCTGTGAACAGAGCCTTGGCACAAATGTGTAAGGTTGTAGGGTTGATACGAGTTTCTTGCGAAAAACGTTGATTTGTTGTGCCCCAAAGCGTACTATCGACGAAACTCAGCAATAGAGAAGCGCCAATACGATGCCCGGAGAGTTTATACTCGTTGGATCAGGACTAACTGCCTTAAACCCTCTGAGTTGTCTCGAGTCAGGAACTAACTGCCTTAAACTCTCGACCAGCAACCGAAACCCAATAAACAGCAACCAGAACTCTCTTTTAAACGGCAACCGAAACCCTCAACCAATAATCCTTCGACGCTGATGATACTATTTCGAAAGAGCTAGCAAGATAAATTGACGAGCTAGATCCCCAGATGCACCTAGTAGAGCGGGGCAATCCGTGAACCTGCCAAATACAAAACAGAGGTATAAATACTAAACAGAAATTGATAGAATCAGGGAAAATCTCGAGTAAGAAAAGTCGTCCATGTGCATAATTGTATAGGTATCGTTTCGCCATACGACCCGGAGTCGAAAATCCAGGTCCAGATGACTGGTATCGCGTGTGTTGGAGTCAATGACCTGTGTAAATCTTCCGTGTTCGCGACCATCTAGTTTTGCTTGTGAAGAATCCCTCGATCTTGAGTAGGATAAGTGGATAGCTCTGCTTCCCAGCTTTCGATTGACACCCATAACTCGTATCTTGTGCGTATGGCCTCAGCGGTAGTTGTCCCAACTCTCCTGGCGCATTTCCAATGTTCAGATGATCAGTTCCTCGACAGTGTTTTAGAGTCGCCGTTGATCACAGGTCCAGGCCCCAATCAATTGAGTAGGTTTTTCACCGTTTAACCGTCCCTTGGCACTCCCGATCCTCCAGCATGATCCGAAACCACGTTCCAATGATGTCAGTCGTCGATACCAACAGAGATAGGGGTGGCCCTAGTCTAGGAGTTGTCGATTTCGAGTCTCCACTGAGCGCCAAACCGAATATGCCTTTTAGAATACACTCCCTTTGGGTATTTTGCATAGAATTGGATGGATTCTAGCGAGAAGCGGGCTCTGCGAACTTTTCCTAGTCAAGACTTTGGAATCACTATGAGCGATTTGATAGGATTTGACTGGATTTTGATATGTTCTTGTGCAGGTAACTCCCTAGTTGACCATTCGGGACTCATGTCAACTCTGAGACGTGCGCTGAGCAACAAAATCGACAAAAATAGTCGTTTCCTGGTCTGTCCCAGACTGCGGCTTATCATCTCCCCATTTTTAAATCTCGACTGTCCCCAGTCGTCTTTTGGCAATACTCGAATTCAACAACATCAATGAATTCTCTCCATCTTTCACTTTTTGCCGTCAGCGAAGATCAAGGATCGACACTTCGGACTCAAATTTTTGACATTCTCTGTCGGATCTTTGGTTCTGCCAAGCAAAGGCGTTGCCGTGATCACTGATTTGCCCTCGGACAAAGGAATGCTTCCGTTCAGGCGCCCGGTCGGCCCTTTCCGTCTCGCAAGCTTCCCTTAATTCTACCGCGGGTTTCCAGATTCACCCAATACACTTAAGCTGCTAACCAAATAGAGCGGTTCCGCGACTGCGCGCAAGAGAAAGTTAATTCCCCGGAGCCGGTGCATGTGGTTTAAGCTTCAGAAGCGTCCTTGCTGTCACGTTTTGTTCTTCACTCTTCTTCACAGCCCTACGCTCGCGTATAAAGCTTGTCCGCCCCCCTTTTTTCGTCCCATTCTTTCTTTCTTTCTTCCACCATATCCACCAAAAAGACCTCCCCGTCGAAGAAACAGGCTCGGGCAGCCTCGCCCTCTCTGTCAGACGACTCTCTAACTCCTATCATCCCCTTGACCTCCAACCCCTGCTGGTCTTGCTTCGTTAACAAGGCCGGCCAATCCTTCTTCAACACCCTCCGTCGCGTCACCGCCGAAGACCCGTCTACTCCTGCCCTCAAGCCACACTGGAAAACTCCTCCTCTCGTGTCGCACCTCAACGGAGTACTCCCGTATTTCGTGAGTCTTCTCGTTTTCTTCTCTGCACTTCCCCTTTCTGATCACCCCTTTCCAGCGCTATATCTTCCAATACACCGAATCCCTCTCGAGCCTCCACCGAATATGCATCCCTCGATATCGTGCTCCTCGTCGACTTGACCATCAAATTGCGGGACCTGCTCCCTTCCAAAGAGTTGGACAAGGACTGGGCGTTCCTGACTTGTAAATTTGCGCTCTTCACCGTGCGTATCTCCTTTTATTTCCTCCTTTCGATTATCTGACTCGGTTTTTCAGGACCTTGGTTCATATTACTTGGACATTTCCGGCGAAGCCTTCCCTAGCAATATGCCGGCGACGCTGAAGCTCAAGGAGCTCGAACTGCCCAGCCTCCACGCTCGTTGGCCAAACACCAAGCCGACGACAAGAAGCCAAAACCTCGGCCCAAACCCAAGGCCAAGCAACCCTCCCCGGTTGTCATTCCAGTCGAGTCCGAGGAAGAGAACGGTGAAGATGACGACAATGGTACGTCTTATTCATCTCCCTTTCCCCCAAACCGGATTGTACTGACACTCTTTTTCTTCAGAGTCCGTTGTTGCTGTCAAGAAAGAGAAGGGCAAGGCTCCCGTCCATAAGCGTGTTCGTGAAGATTCTTCTGGAGAAGAGACTGTCTCTCCAGAGAAAGTCTCCAAGTCCACCCGTGACGTTCTCAAGCCTTCCTTCACTTCTTGCTTCCACTAACTCTTCGTTCTTCAGGCAAGCCACCCGCCAAAAAGTCGAAATATGCCAAGGAGAAGGGCACGGTGCTGGAGTTTGACGATGCTGAGGAGCTAAACGATGAGTTGGTGCCAGGCGCTGATGGGTATTTCCGCTATCGTCCGGCAGACGAACGCCCCCCTCGACGCGTCTGACCCCGCACACACCCATAAGCTCAACCAGCTTTTGGTTCGTCTCTTCCAACCGCGCGGCTTCATCTGCGACATCCCTTTCCTTCACCCCCAACAATCGCGTCCGGCTGGTCTTGTCCCCGCATTACCCAAGCGTTGCCTCTCTCTTGACGGCCCTCGTGAAGACCTTCGACTCGCCCGTCTCAACTAACCCCGGCAAATCGACGATCCAGTCGAAGGGTTTCGAGCCCTACTACGTCGAGTCCGCACCCGTCCCAATTGCTTTCCTCAAGAGAGCGTTCCCGGACCAGCCCCCTCTTCCCGCTTGGCCATGCCTGATGTGCATGATGTTCCGCCGAGACTGCACTCCTTTGGGATACGGTGTTCCTTGCGACAACTGCAACCACGACAGCAAAAAGGGTCACCTCTGCGACCACCAACGCTCCTCAGACGAGATGCTCAAAGTCATCGAGCATCTCACGCCTCTCATCGCGTCTTCTAACCGCGAGACTCATCTGGAGTTGATCCACCTCAAGGAGGTCTTCGAGCTGGCAGCGCAGACTCGTGAAGCCCATCGCCTGGCGATGTCCTCGGTCAAACGACACTCGAATCCTTCCAGTGGCACCTGGAGTCGGTTGTCGAGATCCATTCTTCCGAAGGCCTCGAGCGACGCTTCCTTCTCGAGACTGGCGACGAGTCCGCGACCGCGGTCCTCAACCAGCTGCTCCTTGCCAATGCTCGCAAAGGTACTTCCACATCTCTCTCCTCAGCTTCCCATCGCTAACACTCTTTTCCTCTGTAGGATCCAACTATCCCAACGGTCCCAAGGACGAGAAGGACAAGAAGGACGAGGAGACGGAGGAGAACGACGAGTTGCTGGGCGACACGGAGATGCCCATCGCTCCACCCGATTCCAACGAGGCGGGCCCATCCACATCTGGGTGAGATCCCCTTGGTCTGGTTTCCGGTTGCATCTCGATGGTTGGGAGCTCGTCGGCGGGTCGAAAGTCTACGGACTATAAAATTTTTGTATATTTCACAGTGCGCGGCCGGCGTAAAAGTACTTTGCTTGTACTTTACGACCGGCAAAATAATCAGTATTTTCACATTGCCTTCCTTTCTCGTCCGAACTTAAGTAAAATTCATCTGAGAAAAGTCCCCAATGCAAAGTCCTGAGTATTTTGACTCGATCTTGGACTTGGGTTCCCTCCCAATTCATCAACTCGACAATCTTTGTTCGAGATCTGCGGATTTCCCATCAATCCACAACTCCCCACATGTCTTCTTCTCAGCAATCCACCAGTAGCAACTCCGATCGGTCGCCTAGATAACGTCCTTGATGTTGTGTGGTCGAATTTGTAATGGTTTCGTCGAATAAAAGCTTTTCCATCTCTAAGAAAAGTCTGTCTTGACCCTCTACCATGACCGACAACGGTATTCCCAAATCGTCAACGAGCCCATGATCCCTATCCTCTATAGCGGCATCTTCGTGGGACGAAGTCTATCGATCCATCTTCAAAATGTGTGCGAGTCTTGAAGTATGTCACTTTTCCCACTCGAAATCTTGCAATTTCTTGACGGGAAACAGCTCATCGGCCCATGTAACTGTTGCAAAGTCCTCAATCGCGACTGTGTCCACCTCATGGCTGGTCTTCCTTGCATCCCCTGTGGTCTGAATCGCGACGACACCTGCGATTTCTCCACTCTCGAAGGTTTCCATGTCATTTATAGTCTCAATCGTGACTCTCATTTGGCATTTCTTGGTGCGTTTGGTATTTTCCTGACAGGAAAAAGGCATTTCTGACTTTCTCTTGTCAACAAAGATCATAAGAAGACGACCA